CAAATTACATTTGACAATGATAAAATCATAGGCTGACGACTTAAGGTATGTTGAAATTCCACTGGTTTTCCATCATTACCAGTTCAATTTTTCTTAAATTACTTAAAATCGGCTTGTCCAAAATTAATCAAATTTTGCAAAAAACTATTTACGACACTTTGCAGTAAAATTAATAGGGGAACCAATATTGGGAGTTTAAAATTTGCATGGGATTTTCTATGTTTTCAACAAGGATGCACCGGTATAGTTGCAATATAGAAAATAAATGACATTTCAACAGGTAATTTTGTTTTCTCTGACTCTCATTATATTTTTTAAGTCTATGTTGAATTATACATACTTGATATTTTCCTTCTACGTTATTTAGACCATATTTTACATTTGAGTTTATTTGTGGCATCACTTCACTTTTTAAATTAACACATTACATGAATAAAAAACACTTTTATAGTTCACAGAACTTCACAAAATACCACATTTTATTATAAAGTTGCCTCAATACCTTTAACAGCTCAATTATAGAGTTTGGAGTCTTCCTTATTGAACTAATTGAAAAATATTAATATTAGCATCGTTTTTTGGTAGGAAATTGTTTTATCTAGCAATAAATTAAAAGTTGCGGAATTTTTGAAAATTGTTTGGTTACGTCGAATGTCACTGATGCAACGTCACAGGCTCCTATCTTTCGCCAATAAATTCAAGGATTATCTCAGGCAATTATAAAATTCATCACTGTCGAATCAGATTATATAGAATAACCCTGTAGCTACTTAACTTTTAAACTAGGTAAACAAATTTCGATTTTCTACGATAAGCCCTTTGTTTTTCTTAGTTTAAAGTTTTCATCTAATCTATTTTAAAATTAAATGAATTTTAAACGTAACAAGTAACATGCGTCATAATTTTTTTGTAAAAAAGCGTGTTTCAGTAATTCAAACAAACCTATTATTATTTGAGTTGAATTTTATAAAGCATATATCTCGTTATTTAACAAATTAATCCATTCTCCGTCAACAGTAGCTCTTACGTTATCTAACGTGGATTATTTTATACTAATTATACTAATTTGGCGCCAAATTATATGCTTGTGGCGTCAAAAGTGCGTTAGATATGGTAGACTGAAGAAAAGAGCATGCAGAATACCACAGATTAACACTTTGAAGAAATCTAAAGTTTAAGAATGACAAATCTTCAATTTGGTACCCTTCCAAATCCAAATATATTATTGATAAACTCCCTTAATTACAATTATCACTACCTTTATGAAAAACTGTCAGAGTACCCACTTTTCCAATTTTTTTATTTATAAAATTTAATTCTCGTTATAATAAATTATTTTATAAATTAAAAAAAAACATATATAAACGAAATAAATGTACAATACCAAAATTTTCACCAAAATGGTGAATGCGCCAGAAGCACGTTATCCTCATGATTTATATTAAAAAGATATTAATTTTAAATTAGTACAGTAATGTTAGAGATAAGAAATACTAGATGGATACCTTAAAAATAATTTTATCTTACCTACGTATGTCCGAAAACGTCTACTTGTAATTGTTTTTGATTTAGTTGCTAAGGAGGTATGCTCCTATCTTTGTTATGGTAATTTTTTGTGACAAAAGGTGCTAATAGTGTATGTAACTTTTGTTAGATGTCTAACGAATGATATCTTACTGAATCAAATCAGTTATGTTTCACAAACGTTACTACTGACATACAGTGGAAACACGTCAAATTTTATTGTTAACAATTCTGTTTTTTTTTTGTAAAAATATTAAAATTATGCTTAAATTTCGCAATAATATTTGTAGACTGATTATATATTTCAATTAAAAAAAGATATATAACTTAAAAACCGATCATAAAGTAAAACTCTAGCAAATGTTCTGGCTATTAAAAAGCTTATTGAAAGAAAAAATATTGAAAATAAATATCAAAATGATTTATATCAATATTATCAAAATAAAACACTAATTCAGCACAATACACCAAAAAATTTATATGATTTGGTGTATTAGTGTTTTATTTTGCTGTTGTAACACCAAAGGTTCCAACCTCCAACTGTAATCTTGATTGTTTATAATTGTTTCAGATATGGCGAATGCGCCAGGATTTTAACAACAATAATTTTTAATAATAATTCTAGTTAGTCTGGTTAAAACCGACCAAGTAAATACAAAATAGTACATCTATTATCACATACCTATATTAAAATATTATCATCACATAACAGCATGTTATTTATGTTAAGGTTTTTAATATGCTAACACCAAATATTTCTTCATAACTATGTTAATAACATTTCACTTGTCATGTCATTACCGCCAAAGAATTTAAAAGAATATATATTTGGTAAAATAAAAAATAGGAAAAATACGTAGTTGAGAACATAGATATGTTTATTTAACAGCATTTAGAGAGTTGACACCTAGCCAAAAACGCCTGAAACATTTTTATTATAAAAAAAGCATTCGCAGTTTAGTTATTAAATGTTGTGCACTACTGTTAAATTTATAAATAGACCCAAAAACTCACTACAAATACAGTTATCTATATTTAGTTGAATTAATTTTGAATCTTTAATTTAATTCCAAAATAAATATCAATAGTTTGAATCGTGCTTTTCCAAACTCATTGTTACTTTTTTCCTGACAATAGCAGAGGTTATTTCCCAAAATATCAATGTACTTTTTATACGTTATTTGGGCACATTTATATTAAAGTACATATGGAATTTGGATGGTCTATATCACTTTAGATAGCTCGTCATATTAAATTACATTAAATTAACTTAAAAAACGTATAAAGTTACTTGATAAAAAAGCAATTAAAAACAAAGTAGCAAAATTTAATTATATTATTAAATTTTAACAAAACTCCGTACATTTTACTACAATTCTTATCGCATAATATATATGTCGGGTCAAATAAATTAAAATAATATATACTATGTTCAGGATACATAGATAATTAGTCTTTAGAGTTTTTTTATTTCATTCAAACGTTAGGAGCAATGAGCTCTCAAAAAATTAGACTTCCTATATAACTCTACGTTCCCCTACATATTATACTGCAGTGTTTAAAGCACAAAGCGTGGTATAATCATAAATTAAAGAAGGAATTTTACATATCCAATGTTCTAATCTTGTGGGCGGTTGTATAGAGAGAGTCATAAATCCCAAAGCAAAAGAATACAATATTTCAACATGTTACAATCTTAGATTAACAATGTTACAATGTATCGGTGTCACTTTTGAGCGTCCAAAATATAAAACTCTGCTCTTAACGACAAATGCCAAATTAAAAAATAGCCATTGGCTCGCTTCACCGAGTAAATTAGAAGGCAGAGTTTTGATTTTTGAATTGTTTACTACTTTAAATTTCGTAACGATTGTAAAAATTCGACGTTTTATCTCTAAAAGTTTCTCTTTTTATATTCGTCCTGATTTATGTTCAATTTTCTTTAACTGCTTGTCAGGATTATTTTTATATATTTTAGCCAAGAAACAAGGGCAATATTGGATGGGAATCAAGTAATTTAATTTTCTGAAATTTTTTGACAAAAACATTACTTGCAGTACCTTAGAAACAGATCATTAAAAATATTTAAAATATATAATATATTTTTAAAAATAAATAAAAAATTTGTAGAGTATACCATTACAGATACGCTTTTATATATCCCCAAATTGAAACAAACATTATTTCAGCTATGTAGATTCAGGATATACACGTTTAAAGATTACAGTTGAGGGTTGGAACCGTTGGTGTTGCACAGCTAAAAGGCTTAGATATCTTGGTTTTGTGACCACTTGTTTTTAGCTATTTTTGATGATGGTTAAAACATCCTCTACATCCACTACTGTTCTCTTAATACCTACAATGGCTACAATGACCTATTTTCTTATTCTACGCCTATTTTAATTAGTAAATAACATCAGTTTTAACAAAATCGCAAAATTTGCAAAAATTGCAAAAATTTTGAAAAAAAAATACCAATTTTTGGGTATTTTTTACACATTTTCAAATGCCTTAGAAAAATAGTAATCATAGTCATAAAATTATGAAAATTTCAGCGTTTGTAAAAATTTTTATGTAGATTCACAATCTGTACACCGTCAAAGGCTTAGATACCTTGGTTTTGTGAGAAAATTAATTTCTTGAACCCTTGTTTTTGGGCTATTTTTGATGATGGTTAAAACGCTCCTTACATCCATTACTGTTCTCGTAAGACTACAATGGACTCTATTTTCTTATGCGCTTTTTAAATAGGAATCTACGCCTTTTAAATAGCAAATAACAGCAGTTTTAACTAAATCGGTGACATGACAAAAATTGCCAATTTTCAAAAAAATTACCAAAATTTTTGGCTCTTTTTTACACATTTTCACAGGCCTTAGAGAAATAGTAATCATAGTCATAAAATTATGAAAATTTCAGCATTTGTAGAAAATTTTATGTAGATTCAGAATCTGTACATCGTCAAAGGCTTAGATACCTTGGTTTAATGAGAAAATTAATTTCTTGAACCTTTGTTTTTGGGCTATTTTTGATGAACGTCCCTTACATCCATTACTGTTCTCGTAAGACTACAATGGCCTATATTTTCTTATTCTATGCCTTTTAGTTAGTAAATAACAGCTGTTTTAACTAAATCGGTGATATAACAAAAATCGCTAATTTTCAAAAAGTTACCAAATTTTTGACTATTTTTACACATTTTCAACGGCCTTAAAAAAATAGTAATAATAGTCATAAAATTATAAAAATTTCAGCATTTGTAGGAAATTTCATGTAGATTCAGAGTATATATACCTTTAAAGGTATCTTGGTTTTGATAAATCTGACTTAAAAATGGAAATATAAAGAAATAAATGCTACAAAGATTCATGTTCAAAAAAAATGCACTTATTATTATATTGGTTAAGTATCAATTTGTTGTCAAGTCTTACTTATTCTTGTCATCTTAGTTTACTAAAAATACATTATGTACTTACTTCTGAAGCACTAGTAGCTCCGGAACTCAACGCAGGCGACATAGACGCCATTTCGTAATTGGGTGAAACTTGAGGATTATATGACTGACTACCGGTCATTAAACTCCCGGGGATCCCTCCAGAAGGCTGCGCCCCAGTATTTGGAGCACTATGGATCTGCTTCCCTGGCATCATATCGTGGTAATCCGGCATGAAAGCAGGATGGTACGGTCCCTGGAAGGACTCGCTCAGGTACTGTTTCACCTGGTTCTTCTGCTTCTGCATCACATGGTACCTGGTCGGGTTCTCTAGCTTCGTCTGGACTTCGAGCACTTGAGGAGGAACATCTAGAGCGAGGCTGTGCAGAGGTACCTTAACAGGAGGAGGTAGAGGAGGTTTCTGAGCTTGGCTCTCCTGCTGTTGTCTCTGTTTTTCTGCCGCTTGGCGCTGCTGCTCGAGGATCGCATGGTCTCGCATCAACTGGAGTTTCAAGTTTGTTCGAGTTTGAGGTGTTGCAGTCTTTAAATTTGGGGTGCTGAAATTAATAAAAAGTAAAAGAATGGATTAAAATCGTTAATAAGAGATTGCAATGAAGTTATTGCAGTTGCACTTTTAATACAACTAATTATGATATTATATTTATTATGAGCCTGGGATGCAAAAAAACCGCAACGAAAATTTTTTTCGTCAAATTTAAAGTGTTATATATTTTTTATTTTTTGCCAAATTTTCATGATTTTTTTAGCACACTGTATATAAATATCTCAACTTTAACTCGTGGGCTAAGTTTTTTATAAACTTTAGAATTAGGCTTTATTATACAGGGTTTATCGAATGGTTGTTTTTTACTAAACTTTAAAACACAATTTGTGCAATAATTTTCTGAACAAATTTTCCTAAAACATTATTTTTCTGTCAGAATCAAGTCTCCTGAGCATTTTGTTTTTTGTCTCTTGTCAACATGCTTTGGTTAATTTTTAAGAGCGTAATGAACATGGTACAAAAAATTTTGCAGTTTTTTCAACTATCATTTTTGATGTTATTTTTTTCTGCTATTTGGATGGATTTGGTGACTATTGTAGTTATCTCATATTGCACTGCATTGGATACTCCATACTAAATTAAAAAAAACGTTAGAGAGTAACGATACAGTCCTGGTTTTAATAAACATTAATAATTTTTTTGTTGCGTTTTTTTGCATCTGTGTGTATAATTATCTATTATAACATCTACTGTATGATCGCAAAAAACGGCATCAGCGATGACTATAAAGATCACTGTCATTTCATATGTAAATTTATATGGGAAATCATTTCCTATTGAATGACTTGATCACAGCCAACTGAATGCCGTTTTTTTTTTCGATTATGCGGTATAATAAAAAATATCTTAGTCAAGTAAAACTCCTTAAAGAAAAAAATTATTAATTAAAAATCAGAATATCCATTGTTTACGCGTCTTTTATTTCAATAAAAATACAAAAAACCTTGTACGGACTCTTAAGGTTATACTTCTGTCTTCTGTCCATTAACATTTTGAACAAAACATTTAAAAAAATTAAATAGGCCATCTTGTATCACATGATACCTGTCCATGAACGAATTACATAATATTCAGTCTTGATTAAACGCCTTCAAAAGTTTTATACACAGAGAGAAACGGAGAGTACCATCAAAAACCAATATAATCTTGGAAGGTCTCTAGAAATGGTTAAAAAGGAAAATCACGACGAAACAATATTTTTCTTTACCTTGTATGAACAAAAGAACGCGATAAATTATAACTCATGCAATCTAAATTGCATTTTTTTAAGACAAATGGATTTATTAGCGTCAATAACAAACGGAAACATGTACTTTAATACTGAATATCAAACAGAGCTTGTATTACAAAGAAAATCTCAGAAAACTGAACTTGTTACTTGTTACAATTCCTAAATATATTTACTTAGCAGACTACAAGTTTACTTTATATGAGATACTACTGCCAAGAAAATCTAACAGAATCTAAAGCTTTAATGGATCGAAATTGTTTACTTTGCAGGTTATAACATTCAGTTATGTGAAATTTCATTGCTAACAACATTAAACAGAAGCTTCATTATTGATTTAAGTGTCTTAAACTCTCGATGTTGTTAAATTTAGGAGAGTCTACATACCATCCCTTACGAGGCGCTCATGGTATTATGTATTATATTAATAAAATAATTAAAAATAAATAAAGAAAAACGGAGTATACTGGTAATAGAGTAAATCATATCCAAGCTGCGCTTCTTAAAATAGATCTGCAATGAAATATGGTGCAGGTTTAAATAAAAGAATCACTTTACCAACTTTCTCCCGATATTTAAATAATATATGAAAGTTCCCTACGCTACTGAATGCAGTGGAAAGTTCTCACGTGTATTTTATATTATATTAAGGCATCTTTTCAACGTAAATGATTTTAAGTATGAATAAGGTATATTAAAGTAAACGACATTTTATTTTGAGAAGTGCATCTTGTTTCTGGATATTCAAGATTTTATATTATTTTATTTTGGTGAAAGTCGGTACACAACATAAATTCATTTACTGGATTTTAGAGAAATTTTCATACTATTCAAGATTTTTCTAAAATAAAAAAAGAAACAAAAACGAGATATTTTTTTTTAAATATAATTTATTGTTTAAGCTAGAGATTAGATTCATGTAGATATTTTTTTTATTGAAAACCTGATTTCAATTTACAGATTTGGAAATTAAAAATGTTAAAGAAATATTTCGAAATTGTTTATTTACTCGTAATAAATTTGGAAATTCTTTCAATATAGTAAAAGCAATAATAATTCTTCATTATCTAAGAGATAATTATAGTTCAGGTTGGTGTCAAGGCTACCTTAAAGCATTTCCTCGGTATTTTTGAATCTCATCGGATATTTTTATCCAAAATCCAAAAATAAATTTTCGTCAAACCAGAGCTGTATGGCTTTTGGAAATGTTATGGTTAAGTGTATATATTATTTATTAACTTTTTTTGGCAATTTATCAAACAACTTAAAAAACGACGATTTGAGACGCATCTAATAATAAAAGCTGTTGACTGTTACACATCAGGACTTTCTAATAAATAAATTTTAATTGTTTCAACAGCCAGCCAATTTTAAATAATATATTTATTTCGCTTGGTGTTCGGCCTGAAGCGTTGGCAGAAAGCTCAGCTTATTCGAAATTTTCTAAATTTAAGCTCAAATTGTATTTGTACCATACGAAATATTTCAACCACGCTTTATGTTAATATTCGTCGGTTAATGACAAGCAAAAATATGTTAAACTCTATTATTTAAATAACATCAGTGTTATTTACATTTCTGTTAGTAACAAGATACTGCATGTACATTACATATACAGTATGTAGATAAACTAGTCAGCTGATTATAGAGGTCTATCTATGCTGGTGTGAATTATTTCATGAAGAAATCATTTATAAACAAAGCTAAATCTGTGAAAAGATGTGTAGAAGCAGTGTATATTATAGAAAAGAAAGAGTATTTCAAGCATTCAGCATAGCATTTAATAAATTCCATCGGTTAACTGACGCATCCCATGCGTCATTTAAAGCGGTTTTTGTTATTTGGTTGTTGTGTTATCACTAAATACAGAGTGGTCCAAATTTTTGCATTATTTTATTTATCAAAAAAAAAATCATGATGCATTAATATGTCTCCATGTATTTTTAATGTCTCTGTACATTTTTCTTTTGAGTTTCAAAAGCTCAATACGACCAGTAATTAAGATTGTACTTAGATCCCATTAAAGAATTTCGTGTCTTGATTCTAACAATCGGAACCTGTTTGTTTAATAATGAAGAACTAAACAAAATATTACTCATTTGTTCTAGTTAATCAGCAGCTGTTTGTGTGATTTTAATTTTAATATGAAAAATACTGAGATAAAAATGTATTTTTTTTTACTAATTTATGCTTAAAGCTTGTCGCCCACTTGGCCGTCACGTCCCGTCCCGTTCCGGCCCGTCAAAATACGGATAGGATTAAAACCATGCAAATGAATAGACTACCGCACATTAGCCCGTCACGGCACGGAACGGCGAGTCTGTCGACGGAACAGATTCCAGCTCTCCGACTCTCCCCGTCAAACGACGGTCCGTGCCGGGACGGGCCGGTCAACTGTACGCGGAGCCGGCCGGCCGGCGCTGGCCTGCATTAACTTATGGAAGCCTTTCGATCGCATATATGTTTTGCAATTATTTTGGCAGTTGTTATTGTTAAGTCCGAGAAAGCAGTCCCAAGAAAAAAATTAGGGAAATTAAATCGTTAAATAAATGATGGGACTCTCCGCGTTCAGTCCGCTTTTGATTAATGGGGGTGGACCCACATTTTTCTCTTTATCTTCTATTTATTTTCTTCTTCTTCTGCCAAAAATGCGGCCGCTACAATAACTTCTTCATCAGAACTGCTGCTTTCACACACATAGTGACTCTGTCACTGCTACATGTAAACTAAAACAAAAAGATCTTCGCAACATACGACCGCGACGTGACGGCTTGCCGGTTTCCTGCGGCAAAGTGGGCGACCAAGCTCTCCGTCGCCTGCAGGCGACGAGCAGCTACGGTCCGTGCTGTGCCGGACAAGTGGGCGACAAGCTTAAAACAACAATTTTAACGTTTTGCAATTCGTTTACTAATCGGTATAATTAATTTTGTTTTATATCTTTAATTATATAAGAAAAAAAGAAAATATTGTTCAAGGTAAATAATCAAAATATTTATGTATTTTTGAAAGTATTTAGGTTTCTTCAGGAGTATCATGGAAAATATAAGGTGATTTTTTTTCTTCTAGGTCTATCGATAATTTTATTATTTTTCAATTATACTTCAGGTGATAAAATTTTCGCAAAATTAAATATATTCCATTGCAGAAACAAAATTTTTCCTTTTGTCCAGATAAAAATAGAAATTGAAAAAAGAGCGTCAGGAATATTCGCAGAAATTAATTTGAGCTTTGTTGTTCGAACTTTTTCGAACCAGTCGGAAGAATTTCGCGCCAATAAAATCGCAATTTGCTATTGCGAGAACACGACTTTGATGTCCAATTATCTATGATAAAATTTTCTCGTATCATAGTTAATTTTGGATGTGTTGCCGGCACTTGAAAATATTTTGTTTATATATAGAAAATGTTGACTCAAAGTTTAGTTGAGATTAGAAATTTGGAAGAGGGTTACTCAGTTGCGTGTCTTCTAGGAAATATTTTGGGGTTGAAATAATGAAGTATGGACATGGACCATTCTGTATCAGTTGTGTGGTGCATTGGTGCAGGCGCTCCTCACCTCTCGGAGACGGGCATTGTTTTTGAGGTTAATTGGTAATATTCTTGATTTTTCGGCGTTCCCAAGAGATCGTCAAAGTCGATGGCACTTTCTATATCGTCCTCGGTTAGGAGGGCGAGCAGATCATAGCCCAAGTCGATCCCTGACTCTGCCATCGTCGCTCTGCCAAAATCCAGATGTTTCGCGCACAAATTACGAACTTCCTCAGGACTTGCGGCTGCTGGTCGTCGATTGGCCGCCTCTCATGGTATTGGTGTGTTCGAGCAACGCCCGAACGCCCGTGCACTAATATTTTTGAAACCAACTCGCGGCGGACGCGAAATAAACTATTTTTTTTGCCAATATGAGTGTCACGGACGGAGCGCAAGCCCGAACTCCTGTTTCCAACAAGTGAAAACAACAATTTCGAATGGCACATGGTGTTGTTGGTGAGCGCGCGCACCTCGACCTTAGCGCTATCTCGAAGATGGACGGGCGCACTGGGCAGACTGTAAACGTAGACGGTCCACGGCTACGTTGCCTCTCTTGTTTTCATTGTTTTGGTCTCGTTTCTATGCTTCCGACACGTAATCGGGAGAAAACGAATGAGTTACGTGTTCGTTATCTTATACAAACTAATTACTGCTGGCTACTGCAGCTAATAAACCTAGGATTAACAAGCCAGATAAATTCAAATGAGGAGACGGCTAGACATACGAACTTTCAATCCTCAGTCTTCTTCTTCTCGAAGAAAGCCCATTTACAGTGTACAACTACTTCAATTATCTACAAGAATCTTCTGGGTCCTTTAGTTTCATCAATGGTCCATACATTGCTGCTGGCCCATCATTTACCTACCCATGGTACTGCGATGATCAACACCATGGAAACAAGCAGGAGAAGGACCCTCTTCCAATATCTCGTCTTGGACGCTAAAAATTCCACCGACGAATATGAGGGGGATGAAATGGAAATGGAGGTTCTATTATTCTTTTGATTCTTCTCGAAGAAATGCATTTGCAGCGTAGAACTCTTTCAATTATCTACAAGAATCTTCTTAGTCATTTAGTTCCTTCAGTATTCCATACATCGCTACCATTCTACCCCATAATTCCAATACTGCAGGATAAGGATCCTCTTCCCCTACCGAGCAGTCCTTTTTAATTCCTACATTCTACAATGGCCAATACTGCTATATTTTGATTATAGATTGCATGAGTTATAATACAGCTGCTAATATGCATTCTGGCCCATAATTACAATCATAATATAGGCATCATTCACCTACCTATGATACTAGGATGATCAAAACCTTGAGAACAAGCAAAGGAGAAGTGTCCTATTCCAATATCTCGTCTTGAAGTCTTCTAGAAGCAGTTTTGCCTCCTCTAAATGTGTCTTGCTAAGGCCGGAATATAAATATATTCCCTAAATCACTACGACAATTTTCAAATCGAAGGAAATTAGTTAACTAATCCATGTAGTTAGTTAATAACAGTAGTTTTATCAAAATCGGTGACATGACGAAAATCGTCAATTTTCATGAGTATATGTATGAAAAAAAAAATCGAAAAAATTAAAATTTTTGGCTATTTTTTACTCATTTTCAAAGGTCTCAGAAAGATAGTAAATATAGTCCTCAAATTGTGAAAATATCAGTGTCTGTAGGACATTTTATGTAAATTGAGAATAATATACACCTTTGAAGGCCTTGATTTTGTGATAAAATTAATTTTTTGAACCCTTAATTGTTTCTGAGCTATTTTTGATGAAGGTTAAAACGTCCCTTACATCGATTACTGTTATCGTAAGCCCACAATGGCCTATATTTTCTTATTCTACGCCTTTTAATTAGTAAATAACAGCATCATAACAAACAAAACAAAACCGGCGACTTGACCAAAATCGCCAATTTTCACGACGTATGGAAAAAAGTCGAAAAATTGTGCATTTTTGCCTAATATTTGAGGCTCTTAGAAGAATAGTAATCCCGGTCATAAAATTTTGAAAATTTCAGCATTTCTAGCAAATTTTATGTAGATTTAGAATATATAAACGTTAATTGGTTTAAATGCTTTGGTTTTGTCAGAAAATATATTTTTGGAGCCCGTGTTTCTGAACGATTTTTGGTGATGATTTACAAACTTTGTAAAGTTCTAATATGGTATTCGGTAAAGCCACAATAGCTTATATTTCGATGTTTTACGCTCTGTAGCTATTAAATAACAGTCGTTTTAACTGAAAACGGTTTCCTGCCTAAAATCTCCAATTTTCATGACTGGAATGTCCCTTGTGGTGCGTTAATTAGTATAATACGTAATACAAATTGTTAGGCTTTTCTATGCCAAAATTCTTCACATAATTGAAACAAAATTCGCATACAAGGTTACAAAGCAATACTGGTGTAAGTGAAAATCAAGAAGGCTTTGTAATTAAAACTGTTACTTATACGTAATTAGACAATCGCTATTACATCTTCACAATCACACTCCTCAATACAGAACGATACAATAATACTGCTTCTCTGCGAGAATGTATACTTTTATTAATAAATGTAATATATATTTTATGATTTATTTTAGATACTGTAAAAGCAAATAAATCGCTACTGACAAGAAGAAATATTACACTGGACTAATAAATCAGAGTGAGAACGTCCATGAAACAAATATGTTGCCGAAAAGAATAATTAGCAGGCAAGTGTTAATAGATCCTCTATATAAACATTATAATTCTGGAAAGACAATATTTTTAAAAGAAATATATTTTTTATTATACATTTTGAATTTTTTATTTTATTTATTTTAAAACATTCTGTTCGTATTTTGAAATAGTTTTATATCAAAGGTTGACATTTTAATAAAAGTGCTGACCCAAGACAAACATACATACATCAAGACTCATAAAATAATACAACAATGTGATAGAACATCAGCAATTATAGTTAATTGATACAATTGGTGTCAAGTGACTTGACAAAAAAATACATATATTGAATAATGTTGTGCCTTTTATTAATTTCGTCAACTGTGATTTTTGGTTTTTCGCGTAGCCAGAGTTTCTACAGCCAAAATTTGGATTTTGTAAATATAGAAAAAGAATGGAACGACTTTAAGGTATGACGAAACAAACATAAATTAATCTGTGAATTTATCACGAGAATCAATTTAGATAAAGTTCGTTTATTCTTATTTTCTGGGTTCACTTTAATCTGAAATGTATATAAATATACTTCATTGAAATTAATTCAATAATATTCGTAACTAACTTTTTTTAAAATCAATATAATCGATTGTTAAATACTGTGCCATCTGTTGATAAGATGCACAAACCATTGGTCTTACAGAAATCTTAAACTACACTCAGATGCAAACATTTTTTTTTTAGAAAATGACAGAACTGATAAGTAAAGACTATACAAAGGACTGTCAAAAAGTGATATAATTTTCATATTTTTAGCCCTATCTTTACGATTTTTTAGCAAACTGTGTATAAACATATCACCTTTTATTTGTAAACTCAGTTTTTTTAGAAACTTTAGTACTTGGCTTATTATACAGGGTTAATAGAAGGGTTGTGTTTTACCAAAAATAAAAAACACCCTGTGCAATAATTTCGTCAGCAAATTTCTCAGTCAGAACCATGTCTCCTGAGCACTTTGTTTTTTGGAACATGTCACCTCGTCATATTGAAAAATAACATCAAAAAGTAACGATAATTGAAAAAATTGTTGGTGGCAAGTTCATTTCGCTCTTAAAAATTAACCAAGGCATGTGTTGTCATGAGACAAAAAAACAAAACCAAAATGCTCAGGAGGGATGGTTCTGACAGCAAAATAATATGTTACGTACACAGGGTGTTTTAAAGTTAAAGCAAAAAACAACCATTCGATAAATAATGTATAATAAAGCCCAATAATAAAGTTTATAAAAAACTGAGTTTACGAAGTAAATTTGATATATTTATATACAGTTTGTCAAATAATTATGAAAATTGGGCTAAAAATTAAAAAAATACAACAAATTTGAAGGAAAAATTTTCCGTTGTGTTTATGAGTGTATAGTTTAATTAATAAACAATTTATTTCCTTTTATTAAACATATATTTAACATTACCCCTAATTTACAGAGCAGATTCAATAAGAGTTACACAGACTACCATGACATTTTTAAAAAAGAAGCCTGGTTAACAAACCTGGAAAAAATAAAAAGGCATAATGAAGAAGCTGCTAAAGGATTGCATTCTTATTATTTGAAAGACAACAATTTAGCGGATTTGGTAAGTATTTAACGTCCTTGTGTGTGTTTTTCCCAATCTAGCCATCCACCTGTATAATTCGACACCCTAAAAAAATAAGGACATGCTAGAATATAATTTTGTAGTTCTGTATAGTGATTATTAGTTTTGAAATAGCATTTTTTACAGTTTTGAAACAAAAAAAATATTATTTAAAAAGCTGTTTTACAATACTAGTTCTGTACAAGCTTTACCTCGTATAACCCAAATCAAACGCTGTTTTTTGAGCTATACCACTTCTTCTTCCTGATCTGCATGTAAAAATTATTGGAAACTCTTTATCAGGCTTATGTGCAGAATATCGTTTTCTGAATTCCTCCTTACTCACTTCTGGTCCTAAGGCAACTTGTACCTCTCCTACTAAACAAACCCAAAAATGATAATACATATACTTAAAATAAACTGAAATGGGTTCTTACAGGGTACGTTTACAGTTCCTTCTATTTTTCCTGCTTCTATCAGTTCATTTGGTTCTCTCACATCAATAACTATAATTCTAGGATCTCTGACAGCTTCACGAACAACTTCAAAATCGCATTTCGGTCCAAAATTAGGCGAGGCTTGTAGATTTGCCATTATTTCTATTTCACGTTTATAAAATTTTAACCGTAGCTGAAACCTTAAATATTAAAACTGGCTCTTGAGCAATTATTAAGCATAATTTTATCATCTTCTCCCTACTTTTTCAATAACATTTAATCATCATGTAAATATAACAGTTGTTAAACTGTTTACATATTATTGAATAGTATTAATAAATCATTTACCAGTAACACTCTATTATTTTTTCATATACCTACAGCAAATTATTTACGTTTGTCTATTATTTTTTTAAATCTCAGATTAATTAAAACTTGCGATATAGATTCTATAAATAATTTAAGTTAATGTTTATCACTTTTTTAGACAAAATTAACATTTAACCTTTTTCTTGATCCAGCAAAAACGTTTCTGATATTTAATTCTACTAATAGATTAATACAAAAATCTAAGAAAGGGTGAAATAAAAACATTTCTCTTAATGTAGTTGCAAAAACTAAAAAAAATAATAGATAAATATAGAAGTTTTCACAGGGCTCTTAGATAGATAGAAAACGTCGATGTAAAATTTTCAAAATTGTAACATTTATAGAAAATTTTATGTAGATTCAGAATATATACACTTTTAAAGGCTTAGATGCCTTATTGGTTTTGTGCGAAAATTAATTTTTTGAACTCTTCTTTTTGAGCAATTTTTAATGTAGTCCCCTCCATTACTCTCCTCGTAATACTACAATGGCCTTTATTTTCTTATTCTAAACCTTTTAATTAGTAAATAGTAGCAGTTTCATCAAAATCGGTGACCTAGCCAAAATCGACAAATGTCACGACTATTTGTATTGAAAAAATGTCGAAAAATTGCACATTTTTAGTTATTTTTTACTCATTTTCAAATGCTTTAGAAAAATAGTAAACATAGGTAGTTACAAATTTATGAAAATAACAGTATTTGTAAAAAAATTATGTAGATTCAGAATATCTACACCTTTGAAGGCTTAGGTACCTTGGCTTTGTGAAAAAAAAAATTAGACCCTTGTTTTTCAACTATTTTTGATGAAGATTAAAACGTCCCCTACGTCCATTACTGTTATCGTAAGACTATAATGGCCTATGTTTTCTTATTCTACGCCTTTTAATTAGTAATAGTAGTTTTAACAAAATGCGTGACATGTCGAAAATCGGCAATTTTCATGACTATGAAAAAAAGTCGAAAAAATGTCCATTTTCGGCTATTTTTTACTCATTTTCAAAGGCTTTAGAAAAATAGTAAACATCGTCATAAAATTCTGAAAATTTCAGTATTTTTAGGAAATTTTATGTAGATTTCGAATATGTACGCAATGAAAATGTTGAGTGCTTTCGTTTAGTAAGAAATAAAATTTTTCGAACCCTTGTTTTACAGTAATTTTTTCTTGACAGTTAATATTTGCCCTACATGTCTTAGAATTACATATAAAGTCAAAATGACCTATTTTTTTCTATTTCTACGCCTTCTGATTAGTTAATAACAGCAGTTTTATCAAAATGGGTGACTTGAGACAAAATCAACAATTTTCATGCAAAATTGTATGAAAAAAATAAACGAAAAAGTTCTACAAATAATTTTATGTTAATATTTATCAGTCTTTTTATATAAAATAAACATTTGGCCTTTATCTTAATCCAAAAAAAAACATTTGATTTTACTATTGGTTTGACACAGAAATCTAATAGAGAGTGAATGCATTAATATTGCTCTGTAAAGGTTGATGCCCTTGTTATGTAAATATCTCTGTACGAAAGGGCGAGAACGGCGCCAACACGTAATAATTTTCGATTTTCCAACACGATTTTTCCCAATTAATTTTTTGAAGTGAAACTACGCGCGCTGGGAGTAAAAATTCAAGGCGTGACACACGAGCTAGTGAGACGGCCGTCACGAAAAGTGGTAACCGCAAAATACGTAGTGACGCGACGTGTATTTGTGAGCGGTCGACGTGTTTATCAAAAATATTGATATTTTAATACAAAATGGAATCAAATTATTTATTATTTTTTTTATTTTACGCATATAAAACTGTTTGTTACACGTAAAAAACTATTTGTTACACGTAAAAACTATTGTTTACGCGTAAAAAAATATTTAATTTATTACTTTTTCAAACTACACATTTTCAAACATGTTTCACTTCAAATAGTTTACACTCAACCATGGGCGCCGGACAGGGGGGGCAAGAGGGGGCATTTGCCCCCCCCCCTGGATCACTGAAACAATAAATATAAAAGCTATCTTCCATCATTACATCCATCTGTAAAAAAATAATTATTATTATGCAATTTTTAGGTGTTACCTGTAAAATAATAAAAAATGTGGTAATTATTGGGAAAACTGGAAATCGTCGGATTTTCACCAAAATTGGTATACACACTATTATGAGGTCGTAGATTACGTATCTACTTTTTTCTTGGCGGTCTCTTACCGTTTTTCAGAAAAACGGAAAATTATTTCAACATTGAATTTTTCTTTATTTCGGCCCTATAAAGTAATAATTTCACTATGTTTTCATTATATTAACTAAAAGTTTATCTAAAAGCCACACTTGATTGGGTATAGAAAAATGTCCAACATTTTACTGAAATACACTTTTCTTATCAAAATAGCAAAGAAAATTGAGACCAGATGGAAGTTTGACATTTGATATATCCTTCTTTCTCTCTCTTATGTAATAAGAGAGACAAATATATTCTAGACCTAATCTAGAAATTTGAAAATTTACAACGTTGCCATATCTTCTATTTTTTCGGGTGATTAGGGATTTTAAATAAATTACCTATTATGAGATCGACAATAATTAAATATACACCTATATCCACAAAATTACGCGGAAGAGTTTTGATTGCATTGGTTTTAACTTCTTTGCGGAGAGGGTTAATCTTTTTTTGATATAATATAACAACAAAAGATCTAACACCCTCTGCATGGAAGTTGTAACCAATGCAATCAAAACTCTTTCGTGCAACTTCGTGGGTATAAATAGTCAGATCTCGTTGGTAAAATATCAGTTATGGGAAGGAGCCGTTCTTCTGGCGACCGCCTTTCGTAATTCCAGAATGAGCGAAAAAAAACACGCTAAATTTAGGTTTAGCATTGGCAGCGTTGCTTTAAATGCCAGAAACTCGGTAAGCTTACTTGGTTTCTCTTATTGCCGATTCTGAACCATCCTAGAACTGTGATGCGTATGCGCAGAAGGAAATATGAAGACATTATTTCATTTGCGCAGGCGCTGCAGAGTTCTTGGACGGTTCAGAATCGGTAATAACAAGAACCCGAACAAAGCTATAACCTAACATTTTCAGATTGTTTACAAATTTATTTTAGCAAATTTTCCTCTATTATGCATAGAATTGGTTAAAGAAGTAACAGAAAATAGCAAAAACATTATTGATTATTGAATACCTAACAAAATATGTGCTAGAAAACCTTAAAAATATGAAAAATTAAGAAAAATTCGATATTGAAATGATTTTCCGTTTTTCTGAAAAACGGTAAGAGACCGCCAAGAAAATTCGTAATCTACGACTTCAAAATAGGGTGTATACCAATTTTGGTGAAAATCGGACGATTTCCAGTTTTCCCAATAATTACCAAAAATGTCAATTTTTTAGTCATTTTTACCTTGCCCCCCCCCCTAAATTTCATTCTTCCGGCGCCCATGCACTCAACTATTTATTTTTTTAGACTAGCCAGAGCTACCTCCAAAAAATGGTGAAGCTAACGAAAAGCAGACATAGAAAAGTGGATTCTGAAACAGTTGGTGACTTCTATCACCAACTGCATCACATACCAGAAGAGATCAATTGGGTGGAAAAAGGCTTTGTAACGCCAATCTACAACCAAAAAGAATGCGGGTCATGTTACGCGTTCACCGTAGCAGGTGTGATCCAAGGACAGATTTTCAAGCAAACACACAAACTGGTCCCTTTAAGGTTTTTTTTTTTAATAAAAAAATCGGGCTATAAAAGGGTTGTAATTTCATCATTTTCAGCCCCCAACAGTTGGTGGATTGCAGCGTCTCTTCAGGAAACTATGGATGCGGAGGTGGATCTCTTAGAAACACGTTAAGATATCTGGAAAAAGCAGGTGGCTTGATGGCATACAGTGATTACCCTTACGTTGCAAAGGTATACATTACAGGGTGAATAAAAATTTATACTTTTGAACAGTATCGTTCACGATGATAAAAATTCTGGTAATGTTTTAGAAAAAGATGAAAATGAAAGACATTTCCCGTGTTATTTAAATGGAAAATAGAAAATCACGATGCCACACCTCTTAATATTATTATTAAAAGCTCAAACTTTGCCAGAATTTTTTTTGTCATCGTGAACGATATTTTAAGGGTAACTAAAAATTAAAAAAAATATAATTTTTTTCGTGCACCCTAGTATACATATCCTAATAGAAGGCTAATAGTAATAAAAATTTATAACAGAGTCCTTTTTGATATAGCAAAGGAAATGTCACTTCGATAAACACATAGCTATAGCAAACATTACTTCTTGGAATGTGCTTCCTGCCAGAGACGAAAAGGCTTTAGAAATTGCAGTTGCTAATATGGGACCAATCGCTGTATCTATTAATGCAGCTCCTCACACATTCCAGTTTTACCAGTAAGTAGAAAAAACACCGTTAAACATACTAAAATCTTAAAAATTTTCATTTTTAGTAAAGGAATTTATGATGACCCTCTCTGTACCTCTTTCTCGGTGAACCATGCCATGTTACTTGTTGGTTACACAAAGGAAGCCTGGATATTAAAGAATTGGTGGGGTAAACATTGGGGAGAACAAGGGTTCATGAAACTGAGAAGAAACCTTAACAGATGTGGGGTAGCGAACTTCGCTGCTTACGCTTTAGTTTAACTTTGTAAATGAGAAAATAAAAATTCTGTGATATAGAAGGGTTTTAAATTTATATTATAACGATTTCTGTACTTTTCATGGATCTTTGCCAAGGTTTCAAGTTATTATGTTATGGACTTTCTTATTCCACCCCCGCATAAACTATTTATATTCAAATGATTACTTTAAAATTCTTTAAAAGTATTTTTTGAACAAAATTCAAGCCTTATAATCAAGGAGGCTTTGGAATTACAGGCGTAACAAAACAGCATTCAATCGATAATGATCTTTATTTAAGGATTTCAAGTGAAATAAAAACAGTTTATCATAAATTCTTAAAACATCAGAACCAACATTAAATATTTTGAATTAATACAATAATCAATTGGTCATATTTGTGGGACCACTCTACTAGAAGCACAGCGAAGAAGAGTGAAGTGACATTCGAGTAAACCGTTCGAGATCAGTTAGTTAATTTATCACAACAAAGCTTTATTTACATAGCTACTCAGAAATTCTAAATATTTCCGAATCACACCTAATAATGAAAAATTCGACATCGAGTTACAGTTATATTTTGACACTGATTAAAAATAAATTTATATAAAACCCGGAAGTGGCTAAGGTCCCGTGCAGAACGGACCTTTACACCCCGTGTAAAATTCCGTATAACGGCGGGACAATAATATAAAATATAAATGTCCGTCACACGCGGACCGTTAGCCACGACAAAATTACCAGAAATACATCGATATTAGTACAGTACATTGTTGTACTGATCGGTGCCCCTTTTTGTGAAGCTGTAATTATTCAAATACGGCTGTAATGGATTAACATTACAGAAAAACCTTAATTTTACAACACGAAAATGCTTTAGTTGCAAGATTTACTCAAATGTCTGTCACACAATGGCTTTTCAAAGATATATCTGGTTGATCTTCATTACCAACACATATATAAAAATAAATAAATTAAATGATGCGTCAAATCACAAGCTTGAACTGCGCGATACCTCATTTAACTTATTTGGGATTTGAGCCCCATTTTAATCTAAGATACAACTTGAATCCCCAGCATCTTATTTTATTATTTTGGGGCTATATAGTATAATTTATATATAGTATTCTTTATATTTTGTAAGTTATTACAACATTTTATTTTTAATTTAATTATATAAAGAATACATACAACGGGGTGGATGATTATTTGCTCGGTATATTGGCGCTTTTCTTTAAGAAACATTTTAATCCACACCAATATGGTGTTTTCAGGGCACTAATTAAATTCGCCATATACAATTAATAGAGGCCAAAAACCCTGACACATCTACAATAATTTTTGTTTTGACTAGGAACATTTTTAGTAAAAAATATAACCAGGCAAATAAAAACCTACCCCGTATATATTAGTCCATCAAAAAACTAGAATGAATTTTATTATGAAAGTCTGCAACTGTCTGTTGATGGACTGTGAATTTATGGAATCATATAAATAAATACCCAACGAAAATTTGAGAAAACTTGATGCTATCTCACCAGAAACGTTTGTAAAAAAAATAGCGAAGTATGTATAAAAAGAAAAATATATTCTAAGATAATCATCTGCATGGCAGAGCGATCTTGACACGTAACAAAATTATAAAATTATTTAAGAAGCCAGTTTTCATAACAAATAATATAGATATAAAAAATTGTCTCGAACTAAATATACGGAAGCACAGCTACGCATTATTGTAGTAAATCTCCATTGTGTATAAACGTTTTAGGCCATTTTAGCCAGAGAAAATTAAACGGACAAAATCCACTGTAAAAGGAGGATAATTTGTTACAGTTATCCGTATAACGATACTAATACTGTAGCTTGACATACAAAGACAAACACCATTATACTAGAACGCCATTATAAAAATAAAAATAATTTAATACAAAAAAATGGCCATACTTCTAATGTGCACAACTGCTTTCATAATACCAGTTAAACAATGCTATTTAATCAATTATTCACTTCAAAAAGCATATTTCATTGATTTTTTATACTAAGTAAGTAACTTTTTAAGTAATGCTTAAGGGATAATATTGACCCTTTGTTAATAATTAATTTTTTTATCATAATAAAATTATTGATATATTTTTTTTCGTTTAACTATGTACTATAAAAACGCTTGTACCCATATGGAAAACTTAAAATTACACTGGTACCTCAGAAATACAAAACCGCTGATAATGTTCCAGTTGATTTACAGCCTTAAGCTTGTTCATTTCGAAGATTTTTTTCTCAAAAAAATAAAAAAAAAACTCTAAAAATTGCACAAATACATGACTTGAATACAGATCTATGCAGACAACATCTGTACTATTTAATATAAACAACTTTTTAAGGTACGGTAAAGAAAAAATGTATAACATTTTCAATTTTATTTATGAAACCGTATAGGTGAAATTAAAATAGATTTGGTAAAAAATACCAATTAATAAGAGAATACGAAATATAAAATAAAAATTTGAAGAAGACTTTTTGTAGACTGTTGAATGCATAAAACCATAAACTTGCCAAGCGAGATAAAAGAATATTTATAACAAAAAATACTTTTTTGAGACCGAGCAATTTCCATAAAAAGTTCTGAGATGCACAGCATGCGCATAATTCCCATCATTCCATTTAAATTTGTCCAAAAAAAAATCACTTCCCCGCCACATGCCGCTCTTTTTTTTTCTTTAGTACACTATCACAGTCAATTTAAAACCTAGTGATTTAAAATATAGTAGTCTGAATGTAAATATAAATTTATAAGATTTAAAAGTTCCTTCTTTTCAATTCTTCTTTCAAACTGAACGTTTTTAAAATTAAGACTTCATCACATTGAAATGGATAGTCACCACAGCTTATATCACAATCTGCCAAAAAATTAGTACACATTAATATTCTCGCGGTTACTAGAAGAAGAGGTGGCACCAATAGGGTACTTCAGTACAGTATTAAGAAGATCGTTATGAATCTCTAGGGAGTTGGTAGCATAGTGCAGCACTAAGTCTTTAAGGGAAGGGTAGATGTTGTATGGTTCAGAAAATCCATAACCTTTATCAGTCTCGTTGATGATGCAGTGATTCACAATCCCGTTGCATACGATAACCAAAACATGCTTGTATAAATTCGTAGATTTCCTAATTAAAAAAGTTCCATCCCGTTTATCCTTCAGCATTTTCTCTGCTTCATCCCGAGAACAATTCAAAACTAGCCAGCTGCTCTCATCGTTGTGAGGCAACGATTCAGGGTCTACATCGTTTTCTAAAAGCGTTTCATCAGCGTTCCTATTAATGATCTTGCTTAGTTTACCCGGTGAATATTCTCTTTGTTGAAGCCAGCGAATGTATTTTTCTCTTTCCTTGCGCAGACTATGTATTTCCGGTTTCAAAGAAGTCAAATCCCTTTCTAATTTTCTGTTATAAGACTCCTTAGTTTGAAGGGTTTGCTCCAGTTGTTCACAACTCTCCTTCATCAGAACCAGCCGCTCTTTAAGTAGTTCAGAATTGATTTCTAAACTCTTGATTTCGTGAGGTTGAGCTTCGTTTTGGAACTTTTCCTGAATCAACGTCTGCTCCTGGAAAACTTTCACCAACTCCTTTAAAGCGTTGAGAGCATGACGCCGGGTCTGAACATCTTGGGATGTCTCGTTGAAATCTTTGGACACTCGCTCAGATTCTTTCTGCTTTTCCACCAAGTTGTTGTTAATTACGACCAATTTCTCAACTAGTTTATCTATCTTCTCCGTTTTGGCTAGTTCTTCTTCTTGGTTGTACCTCGATACTGGGTGCATCAATTTGATGTTTAAGGATGTGTTATACTGCGATAACGAAGCAGTTTTGAAATGGTTGATCAATTCCACGACGGAATTGAACGTGTAAGGTTCGGTAAACCCATATTTCCCCTCTCTATGACAAATTTTGATCAGTTTATTTGCACCGCCTTTTCTGAGAGTTAACGTGTATTCACCGCCTTTGCTGGAGGCATCTCGGACCAAAAACGTCCCGTCTGCTGTATCGTTCAACATATCGTTTACGTCTTCTCGTTTGATGTTACCCCAGTACCATTCTGCGTCTTGTAAAGACATGGATTTATCTTTTTCCGAAAAACTAGAGGACTCAGAAGGTCTCCCCATTCGACCTGATACTTTTCGGGGTGGTATAGCTGGAGCTGAAGCGAATTCAGGTAACCTCTCGCCCCAATCGCAATGAAGAAGAAGAATCTCTACTATTCTATTGTGTGACTGACTGTTGTATACGACTTGTCTGAAAAGAAGAATTAATAAAATTAATATTAGATCCACAATTTGACGGTGGTAACTTACATAATACGTTCCCAAGGCGGCCTAAGGAGTATGTGGCACATGACTTGAATAAGGACAGTTGGTGGACTCTTGTTTCCCCTGGCAAACTCCATTTGGCAAATCCTGCACAAGTGTACCATAACAAACTGTAAGGTGCTCCTGTGATGGTCAGGCAACTCATCGACGAGCTGCTTCAAAATCGAGGTACATTCTTCATCGTTCTTCTTCTTTTCAGCTTCCAAAAATTTATCGTACAATTGCACAGGGATGAGTGGGTCGGGCAACTCGCGAAGAAACTTCTTTATGACGCCCGCTATGGCAACTGGACTGAACTCACTTAAATCTAAGCTATGCAAATCGGTATCGATAATTTTCACCAGCTTGTTCATTTGGTCCGCTGGCGGTGTGGCACTGTACAAGTTATATAGCTCCAGAGTCTCGTCTTTTCTGGCTCTTTCCTCTAGTTCCGATGTGCACATCATCAGTAAAGATGGTGCTGGCGTGGCTGACGAGCATTTGTACTGCACACATAAGCCTTGACCAAAGAACGATTTGAACTGGAAGTACGGGGTCCTTGCCTCGTCCATGGATCGGCGTGTGCAAGAAGGCAGACCAGTAGCAGCACAAGTCCTGTGGGCGACTAAGCCACAGTCCTGACAAATGAAGCCTTGGTGGAGGAGACCGCGAAGGTACTTGTTACATTTGTCGCATCTCTCCAAATTGCTAAAGCTGTGCTGGGTTAAGTTATGGTTGTAAACTTGGCCAGGGGAACTTGGTACCTCTCCTTCGCTGCCCTGAGATTTCTTCTCCTCGGGTTTGTTAAGCAGTTCGTCGATGCAAGTCAGTATGGTTTTCTGATGGAATTCGTCTTTGATTCCCATACCCTGAAACAACGAGACAGTCCCTTTAAATAAAATATTCTAAATTTTAATAATAAGATTCCTTATTTAGGGTTCACCAAAAAAAGAAATATTTTTCTTTTAATTGCCGCTGTGGTTTCCTATCGTGAAATACAAACAAAACGATGACTGCTCTATTGAATTATGAAAAGCTCCCGTACGCAAGGGACAATATAGCTTTTTAGATAATAATTTTGTTACTAACTAAATCTGTCCTACTAAACCTACTAAATACACCCTCAATAACTCTCAAACGAGTCGATTAAATGAAAAATCATATAATATAATCAATTAGACCTTTTTTGAAGATCGTTCAAATTTCTACAAGAATGTATATATTGATGTTTACAACACGCTGATTTGTTAGAAAGTAATAAAATTAAAAAAAAAATCCTGTTTTTTAAATGGGGAATAGAAAATCACGATGAGACACCTCTTTATATTAATATTAAGAGCTCAAATTTTACCAGAATTTTTTTCATCATTTTGACCAATATTTTCACGGTGACTAAAATAAAAAAATATTATTTTTTTTGTGCACCCTAAATTCCTTATAATCAGATTTCAATTACTTCAAACAGTTTCATGTTACATTATCGCAATCAGATACTAAACAATTGATAAAAAATTATTTATAGTGCATTTACACCCATTTATTAATTAAATTGAATAATTTATTATTATAAAGAAAAAAAAAACAGTTTTTTAAAGCAGGCAGATAATTTTGTTAGATGTGATAAAATTGTAAGAGTTTTGAGTTCATTCATACCTTCAGATTAATTATTACTGTAATGTTTATTGTTGATAAGAAATTAAAACGGGTATTTACTTTTTTTTAACTAAAATTAAAAAAGATCAGAGAGCACGGGGTTAGAATAAATTTCTCGAAACATTTCTACTTACAATGAGTTTTTCCCTGTCCAGATGGATTAAATCTGATCCTTTGATATCTTTGCATCTGAAGACATCTGAATATGGATACAAATTTAAGGCAGCCATCCATTCCACAACGTTGTGTGAAGTCCATTCGGCTATAGGCTGGAAAAAGGGAATAAAATATAATTAAAAATTCACACTCCTGCAAAAATCAAGTAATTCTAATACAAAAAAAAATGAAAAAAAAAGTTATGAAAATGAAATGATATTTACCTATTTTAGAAAATATATACTATATGAAAATTAAAAGGATCGTGTATCATATACTGTTTAATTATGTCTTCATCCAACCAGAAAGACAATCAATGTGAACCTCACATTTGCCGTTGCATAAGTGTTAATTAACAATTAATAAATGTAATCACTTCTTGCCATATCAGTACATTAAACATCAAGTTCATTAATGTAACTGATAAAACATCCATAAATTTATTTTTTATGTCAGAGCAAGATAGTCCTAATAAGGACATTTTAACTACTTTTAAATTAACAAAGACATGATTACTTAAACTTTTCTTAAACAGATTTCGGGAGATTAAAGAAAAATCTTTAAACATGGCATCGTTGAGATCGTGCTATCATAAATTTGCCAAATCGAGACCATTGCTCGTGTGAACCTCTTCTATGTATGAAACACAAACAGTGGCAACAGCGCTTACTCGGTAGCCCGCTTTCGCCAACTAGCTGTGTCAGAGTTGTCACGTATTAAAAACAAAATGTACATAATCGCAAAAAATTGTACTAAAGCATAGCAGGTTAAAATCATCCAATTGTATAATTTGAAATTTAGTTTTATACCAATTTTAGAAAACCAAAAGACTTCTAAGACTTACTGAACGATCAAATAAAAAAATATTAAACCTATAACATTGTAAAAGGATTTATTTAAGCTAGTACGGCATAATAAATTGGTTTTGGTGCTAAAATAATTAAATAATTGGGTGATTCGTATTATAAAAAATAATAATTTAATATCACTTGAACTGATTTGACCTAGAATACATTTTTATACAAAAAAAAAACGAAATGTACTAACTTTCGTACATTGGAATAAAATTGCGAGCGTTCTGTGTGTGAAGCAATACGTGTGCAAGAAAGAGACAGGAAATCCATGTATCCCGCATAGCAACGTGCTTGCAGTGTCACTATTAGTGAACTACGCGCCTATCAGAGGCAAGCTCAGCGAAATTGGGAATATACTTCGTCTCAAAAAATCCTTTTTTCTTTTCATTTGCCCACTAGTCCATTGCAAGCCTTTTTTTTTGTTTGCTACACTCGTCCAAATGAAAAAAAGAAAACTTTTGATGCCTCTGAAAGGCAAAAGAAAAAAGTTGAAAACTTTTTTTCATTAGGTACCTTTATTTCAAAAATTCGAGTTTGTTACGTTAAACGTCACAGACAAGAATATTACTTTGAAAATGTCCTGAAACTTTTTAATTTTTAAGGAAACATATTTTTTTGGTTAATTTTTATTTTTAAACGACTTCATGTGTTTGAAATCTGCCAATTTTTAGAAAATATTGTCAAAATAAAATCATATCTACACCTAAAAAGAGCGTTTATACGATTTTTACCAAACGTTTTTAAATTTAATTATATTTAATCCCCAAAACTCCACCACTGGTCTCTCCTAATATAGAATATTAGACTATATTTTAAATGAACTTTAAGTATTTTTTCTTAATACTTTATATCGAGATCGCCCTGTATACGACCATTTGAAGAGCATTTTTTTTATTTTCAAAGTATGACGGTGATAACCATACATTTTTATGAGGTCACTGGCGGAGAAAAGTTATGAGAAATGAAAAAAATATTTGCTCCACTTATATCTATAAAATATATTTAAAAAAAGCGATATTTTTAAGTTGTCAGTAAATTACGTTAGCTTCTTTATGATTTAGAGACCTAAAAATACTTTGTGGAGCTCCTCATGACAAAATTCGCATATATTTTTTAGTGTATCGAATATATAAAAAACTTTATAGGAGGCTAAAAATATATATGATAAAAAACATTACAATGAGGGCCATATATATAACATAGCAAAAGTTTGTGAGAATCAAAATCCTTGAACCAACAAAGAACTTCAACTAGGGATGGGAATACTACAAACTATCGATAGCATAACAAATATATATGATAATAAATATCGAATTAGGTCGATAAAAAACAGGGTGCAAGCATCTAAATCGTGATTCTAATTATCGTTTTTTTTTTAATATAAAAAGAAAACAGCTGTATGCTGATCAAGCTAACTTCTGCTTTCTCCAATTTATCTTTTAGTTGTTTCCAAATTTCTACCGCTAAATTCTACCGACATTTTGTCCTTCAATAAGTACTTGGCACTTTGAACATTGGATGGTACTAATTTTATTCTCCGACTTAAGACAGTCATGACTATTTCCAAACAAAATCCCTTTGATCTAAGAGGGCGAATTTTTGCGGAAATGAGACATTGGCAAAGTTTCCAGAATAAAATATATCGGTTACAGAATAAAATATATCGGTGACCGATGTGGAAAAACGACACACGCCGTAGAAATGTTAATATTATCGATATCCGGAAGCGTTAAGAAGATTTAGCTATTTAGGATAACTGAAAATAAGTCGTTAATGAGTTGGAAAACCGATTTAAATAGAAAACTGATGAATAAAAAAAAATCCGATTAAAATAAAAAAAAATGAATAAAATAAAAAAAAATTGCACCCTAATAAAAAGTGATTTAAAAAATATCTAACAGCGAAAATTTCTTTTAAACGTTACGCCAATGTTACCGGTATACAAATGATACTAGAGTATATTACGGTCAAAGCCCTGCAGTAGAGAAAGTCCGAATTTTCGATACAAATTAAAGATAGAAGTCAATTTTTAGACATCTCGCGTTCCGTTTTTGCCCCAGCATCATTTTAAAGAACATTTAATGCTTTAATTATCACAAGGTGAAAGCTCTAATAACCAGACAATGTTCAAATCAATTTACGACCTTTTTTTCAACAATTATTAACTCAAAAGATTTTGTACTACACCATTGAAATGCCCGAAACGTTCTCTCCATTTTCCAAAGTACTAATTTTAGAAAATATCCCAAACCTTTTAATTACATATGAATTTTGGCAACGGCTTACGGAATTAATGAACTCTACGAATTTTTGCATTTTTTTCCTTAATCGAAAAAACGAGTTTTTTAAAAATAAACTTAAATAACTATCCTTTAACAAATTAATGATATTTTAAGTATTTTAACTTTTTTTAGCAGTAATTAATATTTGTTAGTGCTATTGACATCAGACGCATACTTAGAGAATTCAATTTTATTACCTACCTACAGATTTTAGTTAGTTGAAGAAATTAATATAAATAAAATAAATTGACTAAAACCAAGTGTTGTTATATAAAGCTATGCTTTTATAAAAATATGAACGTCATTCTATTGGCATACCTACAAGTTTCGCGAACGTTTACGAATGATAAAAGACTTCCTTTTCTCAAGCCCATTCGAAAAATACAATTTCACTGAAAAGGCGGAAGTTTTATAAATATACCAGTATTCTATTTGAAAATTCGAATACTCCAAGTAATTTTAAACAGGGTGCAATGATTTAAATCAACGGATTTTTTATTTTAATCATGGATTTGAATCAAAATAATCAACTTATTTAAAAAAACTTATGATAAATCGAAAGATAACAACTATAAAAATTATAAAAACTGTTCCTATAAAGCTATAAAAAATTATTCCTATAATAAATATACCCTATATATTCATCAAATAAGTACAAAGTTACACTTGCTGTTGTAACGTTTATATACTTTAATAGATCGAAAAATAATTGTAAAAGATATAATATACATCACATATCCATAATATCTATTCATCTATAAAAATGTTGGACCGATTTTTGAAGTTATTTTGTGTTGATTTTGTCAAAAACCGAAATCTCTCAGATCGCAACTAAAATATGCTCACTGATTGTTTATTTTATGTGGAATTGATTGCCGAAAGCCATTTTCCGATAGCTATAACAGATTTCGAGTTATTTGAGAATATCTATGTGTAAATCCATTACACTTCTAAATGACAGAGATTTATTTTGAAATTGTGAAGTGCCAGAAATCCGGTATTTCAATACATTTCATTCGCAAACTCTAGTGCAGAACTAGTTTCTTCTGATATCAGGTTATATTTTTATTCTCGAGGACTACTCAATGTCAAAAGATAAATTAGAGTAGACTGTTTTATACCTTTTTTGAAACAGCTGAATGTTGATCAAGCGAACCTTCCCTAATTTATCTTCTAGTTCATTCCAAATTTCTACCGACATTTTGTTCTGCAATAAATACTTTGAACATTAGATAGTACCAATTTTATTCTCAACTTAAGACAGTCATGACTATTTCCAAAAAAAAATCTTAGAAAATAGGGGTATCGGCAAAGTTTACAGAATAAAACATATCGGTGACCGATGTGGAAAAACGACAGGCGCCGTAGAAATGTTAATATTGTTAATATCGGGCAGAGTTACTTCTCCAACTCCCAGTGGATGACATACCAAGAATTTACAACTTTGAGAAACACCTCACTGTAGTATTGAGTAATAAAAAGGATTGGAAGAAAGAGACGCTTACTCAGCATATAAAAGACCATACCATCATGTGGTATACGGATGCTTCCAAAACCAAAGCAGGGACAGGGATAGGAGTATTTGGGCCGAAAACCTAGTATCCTTCAGGCAGAAATTTGCGCTATCGAAAGATGCGTACAATTTATCTTAGATAGGAACTATCGAAAACAGGAAATTGCCATCCTATCCGATAGTCAAGCAGCACTTAACGCGATCAACTCAGTAACCATCAATTCGAAGTTGGTCAAAGAATGCCTAGAGAAGCTCAACAAATTAGGCAAAGAAAATAAAGTCCTCCTACTCTGGGTGCCTGCTCACCAAGGGATGGAAGGCAATGAAAAATCAATTATCTAGCTAGAAAAGGAGCGAACACTCCACTAACTGGACCAGAACCGTTCTGTTTTCCAAACGGGAACCAACTGAAAGCGGAACTGAAGAATCTAGAAGACTCCATCCGTAACTTGGAATGGGTGTCC